CTTGAGTCATTCCTCCAGTCCTTTTCTGTGAATTTTTTTTGTGATAGGGTCTCAGGAAGTATTTCCCTGTCCTGGTCTTTGCCTCCTGAGTAGCTAGGATGACAGGCGTGAGCCACTGGTGCCCATTTTTATGCCAGTGGTTTTGTTATTATGGTTCTATGGCATAATTTGAAGTCATGTATTGTGATACCTGCAGCCTTGCTCTTCTTGCTCACGATGTGTTTGGTTATTTAGGGTCTTTCATTCTTCCTCATAAATTTTAGGATTGATTTTTCTATTTTTGTGTAGAATGACAAATTGGGATTTTCATGGGGATTGCATTGAATCTGTAGATTGCTTTCTGTAGTATAGCCATTTTCATAATATTGATTCTGCCTATCCATGAACATGGGATATCTTTCCATCTTCCGTAGTCTTCCTTGCTTTCTTTCTTCAAGGTCTTATATTCATCATATAGTGCCCTCTTATAGTTAAGTATTCTCCTCAGTATTTTTGAGGCTGTTGTAAATGAGATTGTTTTCCCGATTTCTTTCTCAGGCTATTCGTTATGGGTGTATAGAAAAGCTACTGATTTTTGTGTTGATTTTATATCCTGCTTCATTGCCAAAAGTGTTTATCAGATCCAACAGTTTTCTGGTGGAGTCTTTAGGTGGAGTCTTATACGTATAGATCCTGTTAAGTATATGGATCTTGTGACAGGGATTTTTGACTTATTCCTTTCCTATTTGCATTTCTTTTCTTTCTTTGCCTTATTGCTCTGGTTAAGAACTCAAGCACGTATATTAAGTCAGAGTGGAGAAAGTAGACACTCTTGCCTCACTCCTGACTTTTGAGGAAATGGTTTCAGTTTCTTCTGTTTAGTATGATGCTAGCTATACCTTTATCATATATAGCCTTTGTTATGTAGAGGTATACTCCTTTTATTCCTAGTTTCTGCATGGATCTTATCATGCAGGGATATTGGATATAGTCAAAGGCTTTTTCTGTATCGATTGAGATGATCGTGTGATTTTTTTTTTGTCCTTTATTCTGTTTATGTGCTGTGTTACATTTATTGATTTGCATACATTAAACCATCCATGCATCCTTGGAAGGAAACTGACTTGATCATTGTGTATGATCTCTTAAAATATGTTGAATTCAGTTTGCAAGTATTTTATTGAGAATTTTTACATCATGTTTAGTTAGGAAATCGCTCTCTAGTTTTTTTCTTTTGTTGTGTCCTTGTCCAGTTTTGGTACCAGGGTGATACTGGTTCATGGAATGAGTTCCTTCCCTTTCTATTTCATGGAACAGTTTGAGAAGCATCGGTGTGAGTTCTTCTTTAGAAGCCTGGTACAATTCAGCAGTGAATCCATCTGGTCCTGGATTTTTCTTTACTGGGAGATTCTTTATTATTGCTTCAACCTCATTGCTCACTGTAGATCTAGTTAAATGACTTATAAAATTTTCTTCATTCAATTTTGGTAGGCCATATACATATAGAAAATTTCCCATTTCTTCTAGATTTTCTGGCATTAGAATATAAGTTTTTGAAGTATTCCTTAATGATCCTCTAAGTTACATTGGTGTTTGGTGTGATATGCCTTTTCTCATCTCTTATTTATTTTGGTGGTTCTGGGGTTTGAACTCAGGGCCTTCCACTTGCGAAGCAGGCGCTCTACTGCTTAAGCTGCACCTCCAGCCCTTTTTGGCTCTGGTTATGTGGGAGGGAGGGTCTAGGTTTTTTTGCCTAAGCTGGCCTGGACCACGATCCTCCTATTTTAAGCTTCCTTCATCACTAGGATAACATGCACACACCACAGAATCCAGCTATTAGTTGAGATGGACTCTCAAAAACTTTTTACCTGGGCCAGCCTCAAACTGTGATCCTCCTGATCCCAGCCTTCCAAGTAGCTAGGATTAAAGGCATGAGCTACCAGTGCCCATTTTTTTTCTAGTATAGATTCTTCATGGTTAAGTATGTCTCCCTAGTATTGTATTAGCACTACCCCACACATTTTTTTGATAATTTTTTTCATTTTCGTTCAGACTTTTTTTCTAATTTCTTTTGATTTCCTCAATCTGTAGGTTGTTTAGATGTATGTTATTTCATGTCTGAAGATTTGTATATTTCACAGCAATTTGTTATTCATTTCAAATTTAATCCCATTTTGCTCAGAGAACATTGTTTGTGTGACTTGAATCCTTTAAAATGAGCTGGGTGCAGGTGGCTCATGCCTGTAATCCTAGCTCCTTGGGAAGCTGAGATTGGGAGAATCAGGGTTCAAGGCTAGCCTGGGAAAATAGTTTGGGAGATTTCATTTCCAAAATAACCAGAGGTGTGGCTCAAGCATAGAGTGCCTGTTTTGCAAGATGAAGCCCTGAATTCAAACTCTAGTGTTCCACCCCCCCCAAAAAAATTGTCACTCATTTGTATGGTCTAGAATATGGTCTATCTTGGTACACAGACCATGTGAACATAAAAGGAATGTGGTAGGTCCAGTGGTAGAGGGCCTGCTTAGCTGTGTAAACATCTGGATTCAGTCTCTCACACCAAAAAAAAAAAAAAAAAAAAAAAAAAAGTGTGAATGTGTCTGCTAGGGAGGGGTGGAACCTTCTAGAAATGTAAGTCAATCAGGGCTAGTCAGTAATGATGCTCAAGTCTTCCATATTCTTAGTGATTGTTGTAGTTACTCCCCCAGAAACAGGATGGACCTGTGTGGCTGCTGAGATTGATACACATACATACACACCATGCAGGGATGAAAAGGTTTGTTACTAACATAACAAGGCTTCTGGGAAGAGCAGGATGACTTCTAAGAAGGTCCAAAATGGACTGAGGGAAGAGGGAGAGGAGACTGGCATGGGGCTGTCATGGCAGTCCAGGGGCAGTTTGAAGGTGCCTGTGTGTGGATAGGGGCTGCATGCTTTGAAGATGCCAATGGAAAAAGTACCCAAGTATTCTTCTCAGCTTACCCAGATGTGGAGCAGGAGATGGGGCGGGGGGCTGTCAGTAATCAGACTTGATTATGATGGGTGCCTTCCTTGTTTTGTCAGTTACAGACAGGGATGCTGAGACAGCTATCATTTGGATGGATTTAGTTCTCTATACAGTCCTACCAGTTTTCCTCATGTATTTTGAAGCTCTAGGTGCACGAACATTTGGAGCTGAGTTGACCCTTTGTCATTTTGAAATGACCACCTTTACCCAGGTAAGGTTTGTTTCTTCCCCTTCCTCTCATTCTCCCTCTCATATATATTTATATATTTGGTATCATTTAATTATACTTTTAAGGTGTGTGTAAGTAGAGACAGATTGTTTCCATCTTATAAATGGAGTATGTGCCAAAATTATTTAGGGTGATTTTTTTTTTTTCCCAAATTCATGTGCTGAAACCCAACCCCCCATATGAATGTATCTGGGGACAGAGACTTTACAGAAGTAATGAAGGTTAAATGCAATCATGAGTAGAGCCCTGATCTGCTGAGATTGATGTCTTAAAAAAGAGAGACCACAGCCATCACTCTCCATGCACGGAAAGGTCATGCAAGCACATGGCAAGATGGTGGCCACCCAACCTACAAGCTGAGAAGAGAGCTCTCAGAATAGAAGCTACTTTGCTGGCACCTTGATCTTGAACTTCCCAGCCCCTGGAACTGTGAGAAATTTCTGTTGTCTAAGCTATGGTATTTTGTCAGCTGTAAAACATCCTTATTTTTTGTTAGCCAAAGAAACAACCTAGGTCAAGGCTGGGCTTCTTGGCTAGACCATGAAGCTACTTCTGAGCTGGAAACAGTTGTAGTGTAGCAAACATCAGCTGCTCAGAGTCCGTGGGGAACACTTAGTCTAGGATTGCTGGGTTTTCCCAGGTCCTACAGAACCAACCAGTCCTTTAATAAGATGCACTTTAGACTCCAGGAGCTGAGCACTTGGTCAAGATGGATTCAAGTGACATCCGAGCAGGATATGTGCAGTTTCTAGAAATGAAAAAGTCCAGGTGTTGCTAAAGTCTGCTCCACACTCATAGCTGTGGGAAACGCTAACTGCATGTAGAGAATAATGAACACAAAGTTTCAGCTCTTCCCCATTGTAATGAGGGGCCCTGAGAATTCTACCCCAGTCCCCGATTCCTGGGGGCTGTGACAGGCTGTGGTAGTTCCACACACGTTTTTCTGTCAAGGCTGAAGGCCTTCCTGTTTTTCAAATGTGTTCTCACCATGGGAGAACCTGGTGGTCCTGTCTGCACCCTCAAGGGGTCTCACACCCTAGACTGGCTGAAGCTTTCCCTTTTGGAGCCTCTGAGTTCTAGAAGGAGGGTCATTTCAGGCCTCCACGAATGCTGGCCCCTTGCTGGGGGTGGATGACTTTGGCCTCCAAAGACCAGAGGGAAGGCTATGCATCTTGGAGATCTGTGAACAAAGGGGACCCTAAGTCTGGGCCTGGGAGGGGGGACTTGGAGATGTCTTTAGGACCCTACACAGAACAGGTGTCCTGGGCATGCCAGGCTCCTGGGCATGTCCCCTCACCCTCACTCATACTTGGCATCACCTGCTTGACAGAGAACCACCAGAGAGGAGAAAGTTTGAAAAACCAAAGTCCTTTCTCCCCCAAAATATTTTTTATTCTTGCATTACATTTGTGTTTCCAATTGTGAATAAAAAATGCTTAGAAAGTGATTACAAAACGGCGTGAACTGGACTAGAGCAGTAGGCTGGCCCTGAAAGTCTGTCACTTCTCCGTGTGAACGATGCGTTGCTGTGGGCCTGGCATCTGCGCCGGGTTAATCAGTCGGGCTTTTCACTCTCAGGATCTAGAAAACAAAATGGCCACAGCTCATTACTGGCCTCCCAGGTGCTGGCCGCTCACCATGGCTGAGCCCCGCTGTCCTTGCAAGTGGCCCACCCATGCATCTGGCCCCACTTTCCCAAGAGTTGCTGAAACGAAGATGGAATGACAAGGCCAGAGCTGGGTCACTGTGACCGTGCTCTATGCAGAGTCCTGTATTTGGCACAGAGCCCAGTAGCCTGTCATCTGGCCACACAAGCACTTGGAATGACCACCCCAACCCAGATGGGGCCACCCAGCTCATGCTCACTAGGACATCTGTGAGTGAGCTGCTCTCGGGCCCTGGGTGTTGGAAGGGAACAGTGACCCTGCTCTTCCCTTGCCTCTACCCAGGGCCAGAGCTGAGATGAGCACTGTAAAGCCACAAGGTCTGCCCCTGGGACAGGGCAGGGCAGCAGAAGCGCCCACCAGAGACACTTCAGCCCTCAGGGTGGTCAGAGTTAGGTCCATGATGCACGAGGTTGTGGACAGTGGGTCAGCAGGGACCACACTGGGTGGGTCTTCTCCTCAAGCTTGTACCTACGAGGAAGGCTACTGTCCCTCACAGGACCCATGGTGACCCTTAGCCCTGAGTTCTGCTCTCGACAAACTCAAGAGCCTGGAAGAAGAGCTCCGGCCCTGCCTAAGCTTAGCCCACCAGGAGGGAAGTGGGAGGCTCAGGAGTCATCTAGCCAGGCTTTCTGGGAGCCAGTGCCAACAGGAATGGGTTGAAGACGCAATCGACTTGACTATGAGGCTCATCTAGAACTCAAGGATGAGTGGCTGGGAACCCAGCTGACAGCCCGAGCAGGTTCGATGGCAGGACAGTCTGATTCCTGGGGGCCCAGGCCGCACATGGTAGGTACAGTACTGTGGACCTGACTCTCGGGCTCCGAACCCCTCCCCCAAAGCATGGGCAGCAGGGCTGTGAGCTCAGTGCCGAACCCAGGATAGGTCCACTTGGGCCACCTGCACCTGTCTTCTACAAGGCTCATCAGTGAACAAAGGGTAAGAAAAAAGATGTTGTTTCACAGTGTTTTCAAGCAAAAAATGTTTATTTTTCTCCTTCACAAATACAGTCTCTTGGATCCCATGCCACTCAGGAGCCAAGGGGAGAGAGGGAGAGGAAGAGGAACAGGGAGGGATGGAGGGAGGAAACGGGAGAAAGAGAGGAGGAGAGAGAGAGAGAGAGACCCACTTCATTAACAAAGAGGCCCACGCAATGCTCAGACCAGGCACAGAGATCAGAAATCTCTTACTGCAGTATCATGTCCCAGCAGAAGATTCTGCACAGTCCCCTAGAAAACTCAATTCTAGCTGAACTGATGGAATAATATATTTTAACCAAAATAATTGAGCTGGTTCTAATAAGTTCAGCACACCTGTACGAATCACAGCAGGGTAGCCTCTCACCTCCATCTGCACTGTTTTGTGCCCAACTGGGATAAGTCCTGTGGGAATCTCCAGAAGGAGCATCCCCAAAGCAGGCTGGCCTTAGGGTGGCCTGGCAAGGGATCTGTAGGACGGGGTGGGCACAGCGCAGGCCTCTGGGGAAATCATGGAATAGGAAGTTAAGTGGGTGGGGCACTCCTGAGCCAAAAGGGCGGTGTTCATCTCTGCTACTGCTCACAACAGCCCGCTGGCTACCAGTGTTTGCTGGCAGACTCCACACGAAGCTGCTGATGTTCCTTACTGGAGACTAACTTCTGCAAACGTGCCCCGCCTGAGCAGCCATCTGTCACTCTCGGTTACATTAGCCCAGGAAGACCTGGCTCTACTGCAGACCAAGTTGGGCTCACCTTGCGTTCGCAACCCCTCAATATTCAAGGTCACATGTCCAATTTTCATTTTCGTGTTTGTCTTAAGAAGGCATTTAGAATCAAAAACTAAAGATCAGACTTCAGCTTCATATCTCCGCAACTTCACACAGTAGAGGCAGCGACACACAAGCCGACTGCAGAGGAACTACACCTTTTCTGACACACGGCTTTTTAAAACACGTCTTTCCATGAGGGGACAGCAAAGCTGGAATTCAAGGCACTGCACTTCTGCAGGGTGGTGACAAGGTCCTAACCTTCAACTCAAGAACAGGCAGTGGGTGTGAAGACCGCGTGTGTAGACCGTGGGGACCTAAGAGCGAACAGGGTCTGAGGCAGCATCTGCCACAGCACACTGCCTGCTGGTGGCTGAGCCCTGTGCCCAAGGCAGGGAGGCCCAACCACCATCAGACTCCTCCAAGAGGTTCACAGGGCTCCATCTGGCCAGGGGCAGGGCAGAGGGCTAGGTGAGGTGCAGCCGGGGACACGGTGTGCGCACAGCAGGTGGCCTCAGGAACACTGGCAGCACAGGTACTTGGGTGGGGCTCCAGCTGCCCCACGCTCCCATCAGGCCACCCTGGGCTGCCCAGGGTCCCCAGGACACCGGAGCTGGGAACAGGCCTCCAAACGGACCCAGAGGCAGTGAACAGGGAAGGGCTGGGAGGCTGGAGCAGGCAGTACCTGGTGTGGGCACAGGCAGGACCGGGGTGGTTCCGGGAATAGCTGCGGTGGACAGAGGGCCAGGCACTGGGGCCAGACATGGCATTCCCACTCCAGCACGAAGTGCAGTCATCTATGAGAAACAGTGACAAGAAGAGGAAGGTACACAGGGCTGCGATCAGCTGGCCTCCTCTTGTGGCCCCAGAGGTCCCTGAAGTCTCTCCATCCTCAGCAGAGAGTGGCCCCTGGGCCTGGCACAGATGGGGACCCTCTAAGACCATCAGAATGGCAGTGTGGGGCTGGGAAGCAGCCGCCCTCCTACCTTCCCTCTAAAGCTGCATCCCAGCCTCCTCTGAACCACAGTCCTGTCTGCCCCCAAGCCAGCATGGGCCTTTGAGCAGAACCCACAGGGCCTGATTCCTTAGGGCACACAGCAACCCAGCCCTCCACCCAGCTGACACCATGGTTCTTGTTTGATCACATAGTGATATTAAGAAAGATCAGAGCAGCCAGGAGCTGCGTGCCCAGGCAAAGCAAGAGTGCAGGGAGGGATGGCAGGGCAACCCTTGTGCTCTCAGCCTAGTGCAGAGGCCTCAAAGGACAGGAAAGGAACAGCTCGTGTCACACACTACCAGCAACCTTGCCATACAGAAACAGGCTACTGTAAGAAAGCAGATCCAAGGCCAAGAGGCTTCAATTTGTTGGCAAATTGAATCCAGAGACTACTAGAGATAAAACTTCATAACCAAGTAGGGTTTGCCCCGGCATGTGAGGCTGCTGTCCTACTGGGACTCACCTTGCCTCACTTTAGGAAGAATTCCACTTGAAGGGCCAGGGTGTGGCTTGGTGTTAGAGCACTTGTTTAGAATGTGTGAGGTCCCTATAGGTTCCACCCTTAGCACCACAAAAAAAAAAAAAAAAAAAAAAGAAAAGAAGAAAAAAAGGAAAAGGAAAACCAAAACATCCAAACAAACAAAAAACCCCACTCAATGCTCTGCACAGACACAGGATGTACTCCCCATTTCCACACCACTCATGGAGGGCACACTCAGCAGCCATGCCTCCCTCCATAAAGAGTCCCCACGAAAGGCCCAGTTAAGCCCCGCTGATGGTGAAACGCTGGGTGTTTTCCCCAAGGCTCCACCAGACTCTTCTGGTCAACACTGCAAGGGGAGCTCCAGTCAAGGCAAGAAAAGAAAAAGACAAAGGAAAACTGTCCTTATGACAAGGTCATGTACAGAGAAACCCACAAGAATGGCCAATTCTTGAACAAACAAGCAAATTTAGCAGGATGGCAGGCTACCAGGTATAAAACTCAAATCACATTTCTATATACTAGAAACAATGCAAATTTAAAGAACAAAGCACTCTAAAACATCAACTACTGTGGGATAATTTTAATGAAAGATGCTTGACATCTTTATAGAAGAGAAATTTAAAAAGATGTAAATCGAGGGATATCACATTGATAGGAACCCTCAACACCAGTAACATCACAACTCTCAACCAGCTAGTCAACAGACTTCAACCAAAACCTGAATAGGCAAACAATAAGGACTCAGGAAAATTTAAAAAAATCACAGAGAAGATCAACAAAGAAGGTGCTGCCTTGCCAAATACCAAACTTACTATAAAGCTGCAGCAATTATAATAGTGCATTACTGCCCTCAAGATAAAAGAACGGTTGAGCAGAAGAACAAAATCAGAAATGGACCTGCGTGTATATGGCACCTGAGAAACGTCTGTGCAATGCAATCTGGGAAGGAAGGTGCCAGAACAGTCAGAATAGAAAAAAACCCAAAACACTCAGACTGACTCTAACCATATGCAAATGCTGACGTGTGATGGCTCACAGGCTTGAATGCAGAAGCTATAATTAGTAAGCTTCTAGAAAAAATAAAATGAAAACTCAAGCCACATATTGGTAGAACACACCCATGACACATGTGACAGAAGAGTTATCCCGAGCTCCCACAAATCAACAGTAAAAAGCAAATCTCCTTTTAAATGGTTAATATTCTTGGTCAGGCACTTATAGAAGTTGGCTGCTAAGGATATGAAAAGGTGCTCAAAGGCAAATTAAAACAACAATGAGAAACCACCTACTAAACCACAATTTCTTCTTGCAGATAAATAAAAACATTCTCAAATACAATGTTCTACAGACAAAAGAACTACAGAAAAAAAGCTAAGAGAAAACAGAGACTATAAAATACTATGTCAAGAAGATACAAGATGGATGGGGGCTGGAATGATGGCTCCTGCCTGTAATCACAGCTACTTGGGAGACAGAGATGGGAGGATCACAGCTGGAGGAACCTCTATCCTGCTGTCCGTAGTGGCTGCACAATTTACATTCCCACCTACAGTGACAAGGGTTCCCTTTGCCCCCATGCCCTCACCGCCATTTGTTGTTTGTTTTCTTGATGACAGCCATTCTGACTGTGGTGAGAAGGGGTCTCAGTGTAGTTTTTATTTGCATTTCCTTTATGGCTAAGGAGGTCAAATATTCTCCAGGAATTTACTAGTCATTCATACTTCTTTTGAGAACTGTCTGTTTAATTTAGCTGCCCATTTATTCATTGGATTGTTTGTTCTTTTGGTGTTTAATTTTTGGAACTCTTTATATATTCTGGATATTAATCCTTTGTTCAGTGAATGCCTGGCAAACATTTTCTTTCTCTTGCCTTATTGCCTCAAACATTACATTGAATAGGAGTGGTGAGAGTGGACACCTTTGTCTGTTCCTGACTGTAGAGGAAGCAGTTTGTTTTTCCTCGTTCAGTATGATGTTGACTACAGGTCTATCATATGTGGCCTTTATTATGTTGTTGAAGTGTGCTCCTTCTATTCCTAATTTATTGAGGGCTTTTATCATCAAGGGATGATGGATTTTGTCAAAGGCCTTTTCTGCATCTACTGAGATGACCACATATATGATTTTTGTCCTTTATTCTATGTGCTGTATTACATTTATTAATTTGCGTATGTTGAACCATCTTTGCAGCCCTGATCATCCCGTGTGATCTTTGAATGTGTTGTTGAATTTGCAAGTCTTTTACTAGGAACTTTTGCATCAATGTTGATCAAGGAGATGAGGCTGTAAATTCCTCCTCCTCCTCTTCCTCTTCCTTTTCCTGTTTGTCAAGTCCCGGTCTGGTTTTGGTATCAGCGTAATACTGGCTTCACGGAGTTTGGTAGCATTCCTTCTCTTTCTATTTTATGAAATAGATTGAGAAGCATTGGTGTTAATTCTTCTTTAAATGTCTGAGAGAATTCAGCAGTGAATCCATCTGGTCCCGGGCTTTCCTTTGCTAGAGACTCTTCTTTACTGCTTCAATTTCATTGTTAGAGATCTGTTTTGGTGGTTTATGTCCTCCTGTTTCAATTTTGGTAGGTCATATGCATCTAGAAATTTATCCATTTCTTCTAGATTTTCCAGTTTACTTGAATATAATCTTTCAAAGTATTCCTTAATGAACTGCTGGATTTCATTGGTATTTGTTGTGATATCCCCTTTTTCATCTATAATTTTAATAATTTGGGTCTTCTTCCTCTTTCTTTTGGTTGGTTTGGCTAAGGATTGGTCAATCTTGTCTATTTTTTTCAAAGAACCAGGTTTTTTGTTGCTTTGATTCTTTTATATTATTCTTAGTTTCCATTTTGTTGATTTTCTCCCTGATCTTTATTATTTCTTTCATCTACTATTTTGGGGCTAGATGCGTTCACGGTGGTATGGCTGTAGACACTGTCCTTACTTTTTCTAGGAGCTTGAGGTTCATTGTCAGCTTATTCATTCAGGAGTTCTCTGATTTTTTTTTTAACGTAGGCACACAGAGCTACAGTTCCCTCTTAGCACTGCCCTTGCTGTGTCTCAAAGGTTCTGGTAAGTCGTGGTTTCATTTGATTCTAGACATTTTGATTTCCCCTTTTATTTCTCAGAAGAGCCACGATCATTTAAGAGTGGACTGTTCAGTCGCCACGTGTTTGGGTATTTTCTATAGTTTCTCTTTTATTTTTTCATATTTATGCAATATTTTATTTACTGATCTCTCTAAAACATGCCAAATTCATACAGTTAATGGAACTCCCCAGGCTAAAATGTTCAACAATGACAAACTTCTACAAAAACTATATTTTTTTATTATTTTATTATTCATATGTGCATACAAGGCTTGGGTCATTTCTCCCCCTGCCCCCATCCCCTCCCTTACCACCCACTCCACCCCCTCCCGCTCCCCCCCCTCAATACCCAACAGAAACTATTTTGCCCTTATTTCTAATTTTGTTGTAGAGAGAGTATAAGCAATAATAGGAAGGAACAAGGGTTTTTGCTGGTTGAGATAAGGATAGCTATACAGGGCATTGACTCGCATTGATTTCCTGTGCGTGGGTGTTACCTTCTAGGTTAATTCTTTTTGATCTAACCTTTTCTCTAGTTCCTGGTCCCCTTTTCCTATTGGCCTCAGTTGCTTTAAGGTATCTGCTTTAGTTTTTCTGCGTTAAGGGCAACAAATGCTAGCTAGTTTTTTAGGTGTCTTACCTATCCTCACCCCTCCCTTGTGTGCTCTCGCTTTTATCATGTGCTCATAGTCCAATCCCCTTGTTGTGTTTGCCCTTGATCTAATGTCCACATATGTGGGAGAACATACGATTTTTGGTTTTTTGAGCCAGGCTAACCTCACTCAGAATGATGTTCTCCAATTCCATCCATTTACCAGCGAATGATAACATTTCGTTCTTCTTCATGGCTACATAAAATTCCATTGTGTATAGATACCACATTTTCTTAATCCATTCGTCAGTGCTGGGGCATCTTGGCTGTTTCCATAACTTGGCTATTGTGAATAGTGCCACAATAAACATGGGTGTGCAGGTGCCTCTGGAGTAACCTGTGTCACAGTCTTTTGGGTATATCCCCAAGAGTGGTATTGCTGGATCAAATGGTAGATCGATGTCTAGCTTTTTAAGTAGCCTCCAAATTTTTTTCCAGAGTGGTTGTACTAGTCTACATTCCCACCAACAGTGTAAGAGGGTTCCTTTTTCCCCGCATCCTCGCCAACACCTGTTGTTGGTGGTGTTGCTGATGATGGCTATTCTAACAGGTGAGGTGGAATCTTAGTGTGGTTTTAA